TCCTCATCCATCCCCAGGCAGAGCTCCATGCTCTCCAGCTGGTCATGGACATACTTCATTTGGGCTTCTGCCTTGTGCAGTTGGAAACCTATTAACCAGCGGTCAGGACTACCTGGTAAACTTTCAAACCAGGGCATTGCAATACAGGTCATTAACTCTGCCCTGGTGGATATTTATATTCACAGAGAGAACTGTTTGCCAAATAAGAGTAGGCATATTCCCTACAGTTTGGGTCGAAAGCCTAGGCAGTCTACATAGACGGCATACGTAGTCTGTGAATCTGTCTACTGTGTACCAAATGAATACATGCAAGTCCCAGCATACTCACAAAAACTATATATAAAATAATACTTTGACAACAGTCTCCAGCATAAACGGGATTTTAAACTAACAACTAAAATACCCACAGACATGAGTTATGTCTGTTGGCCTGTCACGATAGCTTCCGAAAGGGCTATGATTGATCTGTGCTTAGCTTTAGATAAAAAGTAGGGGTTGGAATCTGCTGAAAAGGGGGACCTTTGGAATAACTTTCATGGGAGCAAACGGCATGACAGTGTGTGCTTGAAATAGAAGCAGCATGTAACAGCAGCGTTCACGCTGCTTCACCCTGCGTTGCCCGCCGTGCACCTTGTTAGATGCATTCTGGGGTTTTTTCTGCATTTGCCTAAATAGCGAGTGTGCGCCATGACACTGAGGAAATAATATGCATTCTGAATTTGGTGCTGGCTCCTGTTGCTTAGGATGCCACTGGCCATTCTTGTTGCTGGATAAATGACAATTGCCAGTAGTGTCAACTAGGGTGACTAAAACCATGGAAATAAGGGAAATCATGTTGAGCGTATCCTGGTCGCTTTCAGAGGAAGGCCAAAAAAGCCAACCCAACAAAACAAGTACAGACAACTGAAAGCAGTGGAATTATTTCATGAGACTCAGGTAGCCTCTGGTGGCTGATACAAGTTAGTTATTCTGCAAGGTGTTTTTTATTAGGTGACTACAGATGTGAATACTTTGAGTTTTCCCTGGCAAAACATGCAGCAGAATTTCAAGTGCTAAACCCAGAATTTTTTAATGAAGTTTGGTGGTTGGTACATTATTTATGCAGAGCGAAAAGTGCCAAGCTGGCCCTGGGATGTGTCAGCCATTTGTTCTTCTGTCATAGACAGTGTCAGAACTCAGGCCTCGGGAACTTAATTTAGCTGATAATAGCACCACTTTCATTTATAATTTAATCTGAAGGTTCCTGCCTAGGGTCGAAGTAATAGACAGCCATAGATATAATAGCTTCAGGCGCAGGGCCTGACTGCATCTCCTCAGCCTGTGGAGCGTTCCCTCACCTCTGTGCTTGATCGTTCGTTGTGGCCACTCCGCTCTGCCATCACAAGAGTTCGTATCACTGCTCGGTGTACTAGGTTTTGAAAGTATCTCAGCAGAAGTGCTTGTATGGGTGGGATTTTTGAGCAGAACCATTTTACTCCATAATGACATTTAAAGGAAAACGTGTGTGTAATACGTTACGGAGGTGGGCCTTGGGGTGACAGGTACTTCTACTGATACGGAAATTTGTTAAAACTGTGCAAGCAGTAGGTCTACGATTCTAGGCATTAAGGAGAAAACGATCAATTAATTTTTTTTAATTTTTTTGTTACTATTAAAGTTACATTCGGCTATAAAACTTGGTCCTTATTTATGGTAACCACCACACTCTGGTGAGAGAGCTGTCATTGCCCGTCACCAGCTCTGGCAGTTTAAGCCTGCAGCCGTGGCCCTGTTGCTGTGAGGCAGTAGCACAGCAAAGTTGTTGGGAAGGTTAGAGGTCTGACCTCATCCAGTGTGACAGGGACTTCAGGCAGTTAGGTCTACTTCCATACAGCAAGTTTCTAGTGGGTTTCTTTTGCTTGAGAAAAGGCAAAGTCGCTGCCCCTGTAAGGAAACAGCTTGCATTTGATATTCTTTCTGCATTGTCCTATACTTGAATTGCATTTTTCTGCTGCCATCACAGGAAGATTTCTTGGCCAGACAGGCTAGAGGTATGCGTATCCATTTCTGCTTTATATTTACAAGTTTGGGGCACTTTGCAATGTTATAAAAGGCACTAAAGGTGACCCAGTTTACCCAAGTGACTACTACTGTTAGTGGTATTTGACAGTTAATTTCAAGATTGTTATCCTATTAACAAATCTGCTTGTGACTCTTAATGTAAAAGTTTCATTGACATAGTGCAGTGAATAAAAACATACTGAGGGAAAACAAAAAATATACCCTTCTGGTATTAGACATGACACTTAAACTGGAATATCTCTTGAAGAAATAGAAATTAATCCTTTTCTCTCTAATCTGCCCAAACCTGCTATCTTGATGTGTCTTGGGGGCAAGGAAAGCTGAAGTGTCAGGAAAGGTAACAACTACTTCTGTCTTCAAAATTTTCTTCTTGTTAAGCTTTCTGGTCTTGTAGCCTTTGTTCCTACAGAGCTTTACAGTTGGCATTTCAGTTTGTTTTGCCATTACCATAATGTTGTGAGGATTACTTACTTTCCAACATTTGTCCACAGTTTCTTGCAACTTGATCCCAGAGTGCTTGGCTTTTGGGGCTTGGGGTTATTTTCCTCATGAATGAGTTTTCAGTCGTGGAGCCACTAAGTTTAATCCTTTGGCAGGGAATGGCTTCACATCTTCTATTTCTGTCCAACAAATCTTCTTCAAATAACCTTTGGTTTACTTTCCTCAGACATTTTTAAATCTGTTGCTTCTCTTAAGCTGAAGAGATTCTTAAATCTTTGAGCTTTGTAGCTTAGTATTCATCTCTTGTGTAAATGTTAAATTAGTTCAGCCTCTATATTTGTCCGTGAATCTAAGTCTTCTTAAACCTTTAACTTCGCCCACGGTTCTTCCTGCTTCAGAAAGCAGTGCATGGAGCCTCTGCCGCTTATTTTGTCGCTTTCCCACCCTCTTCCCTGTATCCCTGCCCATGCCCAGACCAGCTGTTTGCTACTTCTGCTCATTCTTTAATCTACTGTACAGCAAGGTCACCTTTCGCGCTCTCCTCACTTGCATCAGCTTCATGCTTCTTACTGCTCAGCAGCTTCAGGTAGGATGGATGAGCACAACAGCACAAGCAGAGTTGGGGGGGGCAGGGAGTGGATTTCCACAGTCCATCATAACCACTGAGTTAAAAATGAATGTCTTAGCTGAATGCTAGAGAACATTTCCCTGTTTTGGCACTGTAGTATTGTACAGAGTAGGAAAGTACATAGGAATACATATTTCTTAGTCTTCACTGCTCTACCATCAGTCTGTGTATGTTTTCATGTTCCCTTCAGCTACAGACTTTAATTCTTACTCAATTATATGCCTTAATGCATATATTTATGTGGTGGTTTAACTTGGCTGGACGCCACGTATCCACCAAGCCACTCCCCTCCTCAGCAGGACAGAGAGGGGAGAAAAATAAGATGAAAAAAAAAACCCAAAAAACCACTCATGGGTCAAGATAAAGGCAGTTTAATAAAGCAAAAACTAAAGGCCGTGTGCGGAAACAAAGCAAAACCAAAAGATTTATTCTTTTACTTCCCATCAGCAGGTAATGTCTGGCTACTTCCCGGGAAGCAGGGCTTCACTACACATAGCGGTTGCTCCGCAAGACAAACATTGAAATAACAAATGCCCCCTTCCTCCTCCTTTCTTTCAGCTTCTTATTGCTGAGCAGACATCATATGGTTTGGGATATCTCTTTGATCACTTTGGGTCAGCTGTCCTGGCTGTGTCCCCTCCCAAGATCTTGCCCACCCCCAGCCTACT